TTTTTCCTTCTGGTGTTGGTGTTTTGTATAAATGTCTTTTATTGTACCCTTTTTGTACCCTGGTCTTACTCAACCTGCAAGAGTTGCACCTGTTCTGTACGGACTATTCCCCTTCCCCTCCTGGATCTTCAGGACTATTCAGCTTATGATACTTGCCTTTCTTCTGCGAAAACTCAGAGCTGGGACTTCTCTTTCTGTGTTTGCTATGCTGTTCATAGCCTGTCTCACAGTTACAGGAAATTTTTTGTATTTACTAAAAGAGGTTCTTTTTGCTTTCAGTATTTTTGTTATGTTAGAATAGTTTTGTATTCACTAGCAGGCCTAATATTTGTCTTTGTTGTTGAAGGAAAATAGTTCATAGATTCCCATCAGAAGAGACACCATTTAAAATGACCAACTTTACTCAGAAGGACCTTGGTCCTTCCTTCACTCTGCCTGTCTGAAACTCTTTCAGAGGTACAGCGAGCTCCTGGTACATACTTGACATGATTCCTCCTTGACATGAACTTAACTGGATGGTGTTCAGTTTAATACGTTAAATAACAATAATATTTAAATAACATTTTTACCAACTCTGTGCTGTCTGACTGGAATAAGCTAGATGGCATGGAAGTTACCTGGCAGATCTGAGGGTTCTCCAGTAATGATGTAATACCCTCTGGATCCAAAAGAGAAGGTGTGGGCAGAACGCTCTTTGTTTTGGCTGACCACGTAAGTTATTCTTCCCTCTTGGAGTTCAGCAGTCAGTTTGGTTGCTTCTCTTTGACTTGTGCATCCATGAGCATGTCATCCCTCTGTGTCTCTTTTCACCTTCACATTTGAGTATTTTCTTTTAAATCTATTTGAATCATCAACTTCTTGAAATAAAGTATCTCTGTTTTCATGATGTCAAGAAAAACAGTGCCCTAATCTTATTCAGATCCTTCAGTTTCTGCTGAAATAATTAACAAGGCTTAGCGTGGGCCATTGCAAAATGCGTAGACTGCTAGATTTGCCTGCACAATTGCCATGCTGCACCTTGGCCAAATGGTTGTTTGTAAAACGGTTTTGTCACCAATACAAAAGGCACTGTACAAAGCAGTTCTTATTACCTTCTAATAAAAAATTTCCATGAGTTGTAAGTTTGCAATTGCTGACTATCTCCTTAAACGTTACAGGTAATAATGTTACATATTCTTCCAACTAATACCTATAATTGCTTTTTATCAAGCAGGGCTTGGTAGCGGTAGAAGTAGTATGATGTACTGGCCTCCAGCCAATCAGCTAATTTCCTGCTGGTTACTTAAGGCATGTGCAGCTTTGGTTTCTTCCAGCGTAAGTTGTTGCCTTGCTGGTAAAGGATAAATACCTCATAAATAGATTCTTTAAATAACTTCACAGTGCTGCTGAGTGATGAGAATAAATATGTGGAGAAAATTCTAGCTATATGTCACAGAGTTATCCCTAGATCTAAGTCTGTGATGGGGGGGAGGGTGGGGCACAGGCCTGGGAAAAATAAGAGACAAAAGAGCAAATTAAAAAAAAAAAAGAAAAAAAAAAGAAAGGGGTACACACAGTTTGCCTCACGATCCGGCCTGCCCCAGCCCCACTCTTGGAGAGCGGAAAGGGCAGAGAGCTAGCAGATGGGGTCAGCAAAAGAAACACAGCGGCAACTATCTGAGGAGGAATGGTGATTTACTAAATCCAGCAAAATCAAACAAAATGAGAGAGAGATCAGAGTGCCCAAAGTGTGAGCCCCCATGTTAGTGCAAGAGAGGCACGTGCCCTTCTTTGCAGCGAACTGAGCGGGAATCTCTTTGGGAGAGCTGCTGGGTCCAGAGTCCATCTATCTTCCTCTGTCTGCCAGGTCCTCCTGGAATGCCACCCTCCCCTCCCATGAGAATACTCAAAATGCCCATAAGGGGCAGTAAATGGAACCGGAACATAAACTGTTTAACTCCCACTGGTTCACATGATGTTCTGATGCGGAATACTGACAACAAAAAATCACCAAACCACAGCACTATGTAAGGCAACTGTTTTGAGATATCAATAGTAGTCTTATCTCCATGTGAACAACGTACAGCTATCATAGACCTGTTGTCAGGCACCTTTAGGTCATAGAAAGAGTCTGGTATTTTACATGTACCAGTCTGAATGAATGCTGGTTTTTTTTTTTCTTTTTTCATAATACCCAGTTTGGTTTGGGTTTTGATCATATGCTGTTAAGCTCGTAAGCTTGGATGCAGTATTAGGTCAGGCATACCTTCTGGTAGTTCTGGCTATCTTTCAGTAACTGAGACATTTTTTCTCTCGCTGTCTGCATCTTTTTGCAAGTCGTAAGCCACTCATTTGTTTTAAATATGAGCGAATACTTAAAAAATCACTCTCCTTAGAAGGAGAAGGCTGTGTCTCAGTGTGGCTAATGAAGTGTGGTTTAGGCAGCTTAAGTTCCTGGAGTTAGAAAATAATTTTCCTTCAGACTTCTTATGGTTTTGATTACAATGAATATCTTGCTTTTGTAGCTTGAGGAGAGAGAAGAAACTTCGTAATGGTTAGGTTCTAAGCCTTCTTTAGATGCATCATACCTGCAGTTTCCACTATAAGCTCAAGTGAGGGAATTTTAAAGGCTCCAGTCAAACACAGGAGAGGAAAATTATGTTCTTCTTGTCTGATGATGTTAATATTCATCATCAAGAACCATTGTAAGCATCTGGACAGCAACTATAATTTAGAAATTATTTCATCTGTGTCATGGCTTTATGATTTTTGGTTATCATATTCCACATCATAACATCACATAGTGCCTTGGGAGTTAAGGTGTTAATGCTCCAGTTCCAGGCATGTGTCCAGAAGAGAAGAATTACACACCCCAGGGGGCTCTGCAGTCGGAGAGGAGATACAACCCCTGGCAAGGTCATCTGATGCTCTCTTTCTTAATCAGGCTCTCCTCCCTGCTGCTCAACCAGACTGCGCATCTCACCTCAGCATTGTGGTGAGGCCTATCCACCTTTCGGACACTCTCTCTTGTTATATTTGATTTTTTTAGCTTCAATTCTAATTATATTGTATTATAGTGTGTTATCTTGCATTCCGATACTATATTTAGGAAGCCAGTTTGTTTCTCCTCAGATTGTTGCTGCTGTTTTTAATTATTTTGGGGTCCCCTGTTTCCCTTTTCTGGAGACATGGATTTTGCGAAATCCCCCCACCCCACTAGTCACAGAACCAGGCTGAACCAGCCCGTAAACCGTTGACATTCTGATATGTCAGGATCAAATCTGCTTGACTTTGGATTGTTGATATGGTTGTGCTTGGTAGCTGGAAGGAATGAGAAAAGTAGAGTGAGGAAGCAAAAAAAGAGCATAATCTGCACAAAGAAACTGAAAACATTAGTGCTTACAGTAGTGAGCACTGTAATTATGTGGATATGAGTATAGATGTGGATAAGAGAGAATAGGTCTTGTTGGAGCAGGGGCATTGATAGAAAAGATGCTGAGAAGTTTCATGCTAGTTCTCCAGCCATGTAGAGTTTTGTTGTCTGCGGGAAAGAAGCTGCTGTACCCCAACCTACCCATGTGATGGATAGCAGCTTTTGTGCCACTTTGCCTTTGTTTCTTTTTTTCCAAGAAGCCTGAGCCAAGGTTGCATTGTACTGGGTAGTGGGTTTAACACAAGGAACATTCCCTGTGCTGGGAATTCAGCAGCCAAATAAAAAGGAGTGGCTTAAAGAAGATATTAGATACAGAAGTGCAGTCCAATGAACTCTGTTTTCCCAATTTGTATAGCCTGGCATAGATGATTACTAAGCTAGAGAGGTAGGCCAGATTTCCTACTGAATGAGTACCAAGAGGAAAAAGCTAGGTCTGTGTCACTGTTTAGAGGCCATTCCAATTGAGAAACTGACATCAAAGGAAAGTAACTGTAGCTGAAATATGAATTCTCAGTGGCAGAAAGTATCTGATTTGATTATTTATGCCTTTTTTCCCCAAACTTTGGCAGGCTTTTCCTTTTCTTTGTCTCTCCTTTATTTTCTCCTCACCTTTTCACTACCAGCCCCCAAATACTCCAACTTTCAGCCCTCTCTGATCTACCAGCCCATCTCCCTGCTCTCAGGACTGTAAGGGACGCTCTAAACTAGTGAGCACTACAGTTATCTGACCTGTGCATCTGTGAACAGAGCTGATAAAGACTATTATTTTCATGGTCATTTTCAGTCTTAATTACCTTATCATATATAAAAGTTCTTGCCTAAGAACTGCAGGTTAGCTGAATTATCCTTAATGGACATGCTCATGAATAAAGTACACTAATTTATATCTGATTATATAGTGATAGCATTAGAATACTTTTTTCTAAAATCTTTTTTCTAAAATCTAAATAAAGGAACCAAAATACAAAGGCATATCTGTGTTTGTTTAAATCAGCTGGAATTAGTGGTGCGTGCTCTTTGCAGACACAAGTTGTATAAGCAGTGAAAATGATTGTGGTTTTATTCCTTCTGTACCAGGATCATTCAAGATTTAGTGTTCAGTGTTAGCCCGCGACTTTATTTCAGATAATTCAAACAGTCTGTAGAGCAGTCTGGGAACTGTAGTGAAAGTATCACTTTTGATGCCATTCGGGTGATAATAAATAGCATTTATAATGCCTTACCTCTTTTTCGCTAGTTTTTATGCAAGTCTTTAGTAATTTTTCGGCTGAAGGAGGACTGTTAGATAAAAGATGCAAGTTTCAGTTTCTTTAGACAAGTATATGCCCGTATGTGGCGGATGCTCCCTGTTCAGATTTTGAATACTTGCTCTCCTATTCAGTTAAAGGTGTATGGGCACTAGGTTAGACAGAAGGCAGCTATTTGGAAAGTGCAGTGACATAGTTGGGTGAAGATAGGCATTTGGCTGATAAAAGCCATTAAAATGTTTTTTTTTTTAGAGAAAGAAGTGTCAAGTCAAACCACAGAAGTGGTTAAGATTTTTAATTTAAAATAAACATATATTGATGCTCTCTTTCTTCACTTGCAGCTGCACTGAGAGCTTGTGCTGATGGAGGTGCTAATCGTCTATACCACGTCACAGAAGGAAATCAGGACAGGTATGTTAATAATAAATATGAACTTATGAAAGTCATATTTTCTAAATAAAAGTAAGATGTTGGGGATGGGATCTATTCAGTCAGTGAAAAGCTGTTTGCTTTGTACATGGTACTGGCCATGTGGTAGCAGTGAACATAACCTGAACTCCCTGTAGAGGTATGTATATACTCAACCACTGATAAAAGGCCAAATTAGTGTATTTTACTAGTTTTCAGTTATGAATGTTTTTTCATATCCAAAAGATGGCTGATATTTCCGTTAGTAACTTTTAACTTTTGCTCAGGTCCTCTGAAGATGAAGCTTATTTGGTGTAAAGGGTCGAACTGGTGGGAACAAAACGATCAGCTAAAGCTGAACTCAAACTATTGCTTCTTCCTTGAAAACCCCTGTTGTGTGTAAGGGCAGAAAACAATGGAGCACTCTCAACCATAACTGTCATTTCATTTTGGATGACAGCTAGTGAGAAAGCAGCTCTGAGAGTCACGTAGTGGCAGGCAGTTGAATGCTTTTTCTGCTTTGTGTGTCTAATTGCTTTTCCCAGTCATAAGTTTTAAAAATACACAAGCAGCCTAAAACACCCTATTTTCTTAAGCCCACTGGTCTTTATTCCTCTGATTCATAGCTCAGCTTTCAATCTGTCTCATTTAGGTCTCTATCAGAGCTAAGGCTTTGCAGCAACCTCTTGAAAAACTTACTGTGCTCCTGAGAGAGGTTGACAAGGACCATCTGATGCTTCTCATGAAGGGCTGAAACAAACTGTCCTCTTTATTTCTTACAGAAAATCTGCTTGCATTCATGAAATGGAATGAGGAATAAAATAGGCTGTCTACTTTTTCTTTTAAATTATTTCTGTATTAATGGTAGGACATCATACACGACCAAAGGCAAGTACAGAAGTTGTAAAGAATTGTACATGTTAGGTGAGGAAATAGGTCTGAAGGAGGAATAGTGCTTGTTTCCTCTAATGGCATTTAAGTCCATAAAATCCTGGGTTTCTGCCCCAGAAGTGTTTATGCAGCTGGTTTTATGGTGCAAAATAAATGCATTCCAATGGTTTATCATTTTCTAGTGGGACCATCAAACACAGTGTAATTCCAGGTTGCTAAACACCCATTGTTACTTGTACTGAGGATTTTCAGTTGTTGTGACCAAGGATTTACGGATAAGAAGTTTAATAAATACAGTAAGGTTGACTCTCAGAGTAAACAGGTGAGACAAAACTTATAAATTTATGAACCTTTTTATTCGTACAGCAGAACCTGGCACGTATTTGCCAGCAGATGAACAACCAAATGTACGAGGGAGGACAGGAGAAGCTTGATTTCTTCTTGCCCTTCACAGCAAAGTTAGTTAGAAGGAAAGAAGTAGCCTTGAAGCGGGAGTTAACTTAGAATTTCTTCCTTTGTCTTCTGTGAAAAGTTTGATGTGAGGATTGCTGATACTCGGACTGAAGTCTGTCAAGCATTACTAACTGTTGTGTGTATTGCCTATGTCTCTTCTACTGATTGCTTGCAGAGCCATGTATGCAAACCTTAAATCTAGAGTACAGACAGAAATCTGACTTGCAGCAAGTAGTTCTCTGATACTGGTGATTCTTTTTGAAGAGACACAAAGGGAGTGATGAGGCAGTGTTAGAACTTTAACTTCTCTTGTAACTCATTCATCTCTTCTGCAAACCTTTATATTCTTATTGGATATAATTCAGGGAAAACTTGATTGTTATACCTTGGTTGAATAGTTCTTTCAGTCTTACATACTTGGCCCTTGGACTATTCTTTTTATCACTCTTTTTTCTTTCCATGTTAATTGCCTGGGATAGTGCATATATATACTGCATAGATACTGCATATATATAGTACCTCCTATGAAATAAAAAACCTGCTATGAAATAGAGGAGAAAAATAAAGACTTGCATAATTTTAATTTCCGTCCTCAAAGAAATCATTCTGCTGGAAAGAATATTCATTTACTTCTCTGAAGTATTTTCCTTTAAATTCCCTGTCCAGTACTACAGAACTGGGTGCACAGACTCTACTGATATTTTCATCTTTTTTTTTTTTTTTTTTTTCCAGGGATACTGACTCAACTACTCCCTGGGGAGTCTATTCCAGTGCTTAACAGCCCTTTCTTGGGTTGTTAAAGTAAAGAAGTGTTTCCTAATATCCATCTTGAACTTACCCGGGCGCAACTTAAGGCCATTTCCTTTCGTCCTTTCACCTGTCAGCAGTGAGAAGAGTCCAACCCTGCTCTAACTGTATTGAAAGAGAGCAGTACGGTCTCCCTTCAGCCTCCTTTTCCTCAGACTAGACAGCCCCAGTTCCTTCAGTCTCTCCTCAAAGGACTTTTTCCCCAAGCCCTTCACAAACCTTGTTGCTCTTCTCTGGACCTGCTCCAGCACCTCCATGTCCTTTCTGTACAGAGGTGCCCAAAACTGAACACAGTATTCGAGATGAGGCCTCACGAGTGCTGAGTACAGAGGCGGGATTACTTCCCTAGTCCTGCTCATCTCACAGTTTCTGATCCAAGCCAGGATGCCATCAGACTTCTTGGCCACCTGGGCACACTGCCGGCTCGTATCCAGCTGACTGTCCATCAGTACACCAATGTGTTCTGTTCAGTCAACACTGAGCTGTTACATAGTTTGCATAAATGCCCCATTTGGGTTGGTCTCAAGACTTATGAGAAATAGATAGTGCTAGGGTTTTTGGTAACCTAGTTGAACCTTTGAAAGATTGATATAGGAAATTTGCTTACTTATTTTTCTTTGCTTTTCTTATAAATCTGCTATAGAAGTGCCTTCAGCAATTCTGGCACTCAAAACTCCAGACTTATCAGATGGCTGATGTATGTCTGTAATGACCTGGAACAACAGCAAAAAAATAACAATAATTAAATACAAAGGAAAAAGCCAATAAGCTAAGGGAATCAAACCTCTGAAGTTTTTCTGTTCTTAGCACCTGGTGTTCTGCTCCTTAACAGCTTTAGGAAAGGCCTAGATTGTGCTGATCTAGAGTGAATGTCACATGTTCAGCCCCAGCAGGATTATGGAGTTGGCTTGTTCCTGATAAATGTCAGCATAAAGCAGTAGAGAATCAAGCCAGGTAAGCTGATCATAGCCTAATATGCAGAGTGCTACTTAGTAGCTAAATGAGACTGTTAACACATGGTTCTAAAATGCCTTAGAATGCATCAACTAGACTATTCAGATATGAAAATTTAAGAGGAATTTTGAAAAGGAATTATAGATATCTTTTTCCATCTTGGGCAAAAAGATAACTTCCTCTACTAAAGGATGTGTGCTATATATGTCACTGACAGAAGTGATCATCTCATATACAGTTATGATGCAGAATTCTTCATGAAAGAGAGTTCAGAGGAAAAGACTAATAAAATACCTGCTTTTAATTCATACTTTCAGCGAGGGATGATGTTACGGACTTTATGGAGAGGCCCTTTTGATTTCTTTTCTCTGATGTCATTTCTTCCACTCACCTGTAGCAAGTTTGACAGTGTGATTCTCCAGGGCCTGTTCTCCTGGACTATTCTGTATTCTGGAGTAAATACAAAACTCTGCCAAAAGCAAAGAAGTGAAAACTATTGCGAAGTATCTTCAAAGATACTTTAGTATGATTTGCTGTTGCTTTCTTTTTCAGTATGTACCTGAGGTATTTCCCCTCTTTATTTGTTATCTGGGGGAGCTGATGTTTGCCCCTCACTACAAGAAAGACTTTGAGGCCCTGGAACACGTCCAGAGAAAAACAATGAAACTGGTGAGGGGTCTGGAGCACAAATCTTATGAGGAGCGACTGAAGGAGCTGGGATTGTTCAGTGTGGAGAAGAGGAGGCTCAGGGGAGACCTCACTGCACTCTGCAACCTCCTGAAGGGAGGCTGTGATGAGGAGGGGTTTGGCCTCTTCTCCCAGGCAACAAGTAGGACCTGAAGAAATGGATACAAGTTGTACCAGAGAAGGTTAGGTTGGACATAAGGAAGAACTTTTTCTCTCAGAGAAAAAGTGTTAGCAATCTTGTATTCTCTTCAGCACAGGAGAATGAGAGAAAATGAGCATCATGGTTAGTGAATTGGACCATATCACAGTGGCAAAACAGACTGATCCTACTATTCATCAGATTTTTTGTGAAGCAAATCACTAGGAGAATAAGAACTGTATTGAATACATTTCTACATGACACAAGATTAGCAAACTTCAAAAACTCGGTTTAGCTAGAAAAAGGTTGCACATCATTTGATGATTAGAGACTGGAGCACCTCTCCTATAAACAAAGATTGAGGGAACTGGGCTTGTTTAGTTTGGAGAAGAGAAGGCTTGGGGGAGACCTCATTGTGGCCTTCCAGTACTTGAAGGGAGCGTATAAACTGGAGGGGGAACGGCTGTTTGTGAGGGTGAATGGTGGCAGGACAAGGGGAATGGTTTTAAACTGAGACAGGGGAGGTTTAGGCTGGATATTAGGAGGAAGTTTTTCAGCCCGAGGGTGGTGATGCAGTGGAACAGGTTGCCCAAGGAGGCTGTGGATGCCCCATCCCTGGAGGCATTCAAGGCCAGGGTGGATGTGGCTCTGGGCAGCCTGGTCTGCTGGTTGGTGACCTGCACACAGCGGAGGGATTGAAACTGGATGATCTTTGAGGTCCTTTTTTCTGAGGTCCTTTGAGGCCTTGCAATTGTATGCTTCTATGATTCTATGATCCTTGCATGCTAAACTGAGAAGATTGTTTACAGTACTTTGACAGTCCACAAAAGCTCTTAAACCTTATCATGTCAATAAAAACTATCATGGGATCAGCAGCAGCTTTAGAAGCCAGCAAAACCGCCGTTTCAGCATAAGCCTCGTGCCAAGGGACTTTTATCACAGAGTGATATGCTTAAAAACCATGAACACAAGCTCTTGGAGAGAGAGTCCTGGCCTTTGTCAGAAATAGTGTAGTCAGCAGGATTAGGAAGGTGATTGTCCCTCTGCACTCAGAACTGTGGAGGCTGCACCTTGAAAACTGTGTTCAGTTTTGGTCTGCTCACTACAAGAAAGTCCATGAGGCCATGAACTTTGTCCAAAGAAGAGCAACAAAGCTGGTGAAGGGTGTGGAGCATGTCTTATGAGGAGTGGCTGAGGAAATTGGGATTGTTTGGCCTGGAGAAGAATCGGGAGAGAGCTCATGTCCCTCTCTGCAACTACCTGGAAAGTGGTTGTAGTGAGCTGGAGGTCAGCCTCTTCTTACAGGTAGCTAGTGATAGGACAAGAGGTAATGGCTTAATGCCGTGAAGTGATGTTCAGGTTGGACTTTAGGAAAAATTTATTCTCCAAAAAAGTGGTGGGGTATTGGAACAGGATTCCCAGGGAGGTGGATAGTATCACCACTGCTGGAGGTTTTCAAGAAAAAGGTAGATGTTTGCACTGAAAGGCATGGTTTAGTGAGCATAGTAGTGGTGGGTTGATCTTAGTGATCTTTTCAAACCTTCATGTTTCTATGATTGTATGATTCTGTGTTTTAAAAGTGAAAGAAACCAATTTGGGACCTTTGCTGAAGATCTTTATTTTGTTACAGAAAACTCCTGTCTCAGATGACTTCTGTCATGGCTCCTTAGTCTCATTTGAACCATTATTATTCTTTGCCCCTGACTTCAGACTGCAGTATCTGTAATTGCTGTCCAAATTCCAAGATGCTGCACTGAATTTACTTTGCTCAGTGATTTGTAATAAGTATGTAAATAGGAAGAAGGAGAGGGAAAAGGGAAAAAGTACCTCATTTGTGAGATATCAGCTGTTCAAGATCTATCATCACCATCTCCTGACATGTTTTATCTGCAAAGACTTGATGTGCAGCACAAAGATAAACTTGTTTCAGGTGCTGGAACAGGCTGCCCAGGAAAGTGGTAGAGTCACCATCATGATTCTATGTGGCACTTAGGGATTTAGTGGGCAATGTTATTACTATGATTTAGTGGGCAATATTACTGATAGGTGTACAGTTGGACATGATTATCTTAGAAGTCTTTTTCAGCTGTAATGATTCTACGATTCTGTGATTGTTCAGGTAGTTTTCTGGTATGATACACTACAATGATATTTGAGAGAACAAGCAGGTACTTCGGGAGATGTGTAAACACCTTGCCAGTGCGCAGCTCCTTTAGCAGAAAAGGGACACAGTTTGTTTGTCTGTGACATTATTTTGTGTCAGCTGCTCTTTTAATTTTCTTGTAACTGTCTCCTATTCCCTTGAGAGATTAATGCTTCTACTCCTTGAAACTCTTGAAAAAATAAAATTAAGTTTTTCATTTCATTGCTCATTTTCTTTTCTTTCAGCTTCTTGCCTGATTACATCAGTGGTGACTTCGACTCCATCCTGCCTGAAGTCAAGGCTTACTACAAGGTTAAGGTAAAGCACTATCCCTTGGATGTGTTTGTGTGTGTTAGAGTGTTGTAGGATCCAACTCCCTAATGCTCCCATTGGTTATTAGGTGTTTTTAGCTCCCTTTGGTGTCTTTGGGTCTTTGGATGTGAAGTAACTTACAGACTTACAGAGGCAGATGGGCTCTGCCTCTCATATAGTGATGCTTAAAGTGAAAACAGGAGCTGCATTACTGCCTGACTCCTGTGTTAGATGTAGTTTCATAGCACCAGCTCGAGAAGTAGAAGGTGTATTACTGCAGATTATAGCAACAAGAAACAATGGTAAAAGTTTTTGAAAAATATGTTAATTCCTTTGTGTGGAGATACAGAGCAATAAAGATAGCATATTACTTTCACACAACAGATTTATTTTTCCCTTGAAGTGTGCACCTAGATAAATGTCTTCAGGTAGTTAGGTTTTCCTGAAATAATATGAATATTCTGCTGGCATTTGCTAGTGCTCCTGCTCCCACTCACTGCTGAGCTACCTCTCCTGTTCCAGCAGGCAGAAGGCTGACCTGCCTGCTCCTGAGCTTCCTGTCACATGCAACTGTCTTGAGCTACTGCCAGGCCATGGTTATCAGTGATGTGCACTGTCACTACAACTTGAGCTTCATCAGCATTCATACTGAATGAATTCATACGCTGAATGTTTTGTTCTGTTGCATTTATTTTCCATATATACTAATGTAACCTAACTGTTACACAAAATAAAAGGGAATGGGGTGCCCGGTGAAGGGTGGAATGCTCCTTTCCATGTGTATAGCTAATTCACGATGGTCAGCAAAAATGAGCCTATAGAGAGAGGGAAGCTCTAACACATAGCAGTTTGAGTAGAGTCTGAATGGAGTGAAAGTAAAGGAAGCAGAAATTGCCAAGATCCTTTGCAATCCCCTGTGCCTTTCAGTGTGATACTCAGTAAAAAGTTGTGCCCACTGTTCTGTCTAGTCTTTCTGACTTGCTTGCTGATTTGTCCAGCTGCCAGGTAAAGGGCAAGTGGTGCTGAAGCTTCATTTGGTATTTCAGTTGCAGTGGTTTAATTTACATGAGGAGATAAGGTAATTTTTTTTCTTTGTGTTTGTGAAGCTGAAGGTACATTGCCTTTTGTATTTTTAATAAATGTGCTGTATTGTTCTGTTAGGTTTTACACATGTGATAGAGTGCCAGTGACTTTTTGACAGAAATTAAAGCATCATAACTTATTTTATCTATCTGAGGGCAGCAAACCAATGGTTAAGAGATGTTACTTTTTTGTAGTAAGGTTTATGGATGTTGTTTATTAAGTTATATTCACTTATGAGCAATTGTGTCAAATTGACTTGTGTAGTGCTGAGTGGGAAGGGGGAATGTTAAACTCTGTGTGCATGAAACTAACTAGGATTCTGTAAAGCAGATGTAGGTCCTTTAAGCAGTCATATCATCATTGTGAAATAATCACAGTTCTGACTCCCTCTTCACACCAGCTTCATACCAAGATATTGCTAAAGACTCAGAAAGTATTCTGCCTCATGTAAGTGATGAAAGTGATAGCAGATCTATGCCATCACAAAAAACATGGCTTACATATTCCCAGAGACAAAGGAAGGGAAATCTTTAAGCCAATTCCTTTGATGTGCTTGGCTCATCAAGGATTAGATGACAAGTGTTTCCATTTTCCTTTAAGAAGGATAATCACCATTGTGTCAGGGAACTTTATCTAAATAAAGTCTATAGAATGGATTCATTTTTTCATCTCTGTTAGGCATGGCATGCCATAGTAAGTGAAGAGATGGAAATGACACTGCACTATAGAGAACTTGTGGTGATGGTTCTGTTGCTACACACTCATCTGCTTCTTGCTTTAGCTGGATGTTTCTATTATTGAAACCTTTTAAAGCATCACTTTGTGATCAAGCAGCCATTTGTATTGTTATGTCTCAAAGAAGACTCAGTTTTGAAAGGTTTTTAGGTCAAAGACATTAACTAAAATTGTGGTTAATCTGTCCTGATGACTGGAAACAGAAGGTTGAATGCATTGCCTTCTAAAATCCAGATTGGGCATTTTAGTGAGAATGCAGTTCAGCTTTTCTACTGAGCAAACTGCATGTGCTTTAGAAGGCTTCTATAGATTTAGTAGGCTCTACTTCATATCTGTAATTAAAAGCTGTGGATATATTTACAACAACACTCTTTCCTTTTGTCTTTCTTCTTTAAACCCCACAGAACCACTGGTATTTACAGGCAGTTCTGTACCTGTAGCATTTTCTCTTTATTGTTTCTATTACATTTCAAGGTTCAATGGTTATGAAAATGCTTAATAGACATGGTATGAACACTGTCTTTCTGCTCTATAATTATCAACTTATAATTAGATTTATGCATTGTATTTGTATGGCAGTGCTGATACACCTCTAGCTAATATGCTGCCTTGTTTAAATGCAGGTTATGATGTCATTCTCTGTGACTTTCTGAGGCCAAAACTTGTAATAATTTTCAAAGTTGATTTCCCTCAGTTATATCACTTAAACACATAAAAGTATTGTTTTTCTTTGACTACTTTAATTTATCCTGTATCTCTAAACTTTAGTATTTTTTCTAAAACTGAATTTTATATATAAGATGGGAATTAGACTATTAAGAAGTTTCACTCCTAGCGTGTTTCTTACACTGAACGGGCTTGTAAGAAAGCATGTTTCGTTTTAGAACTTGACTCTTTTGTGAGAGGTTTCAAGGCTTTGGGAGGAGCTGTAAAATTGTGCAGGTGGATATAAAGCAGTCCTGTCTTGCTGTAGAGCAGCAGTTAAGTTTTTAAGTGATTTTGGTGTTACATGTTCTGCTGAAGACATGTCTGACATCAATGTAAGAAGTGCTGTGCCTACCTCTGTTGAGCTTCTGACACGATGAGAGTGATCATTGCCATTTGGACCACATCTCCAGTTGTTCGCCTTTGTTCTGAGATGCTGAAAATTTCCTTTCATAGAATCATTGAAACACAAGGTTGGAAAGGACCCACAAGATCATCTAATCCAACTGTCCTGCTATCACCATTACTACCACTGAGCTACTAAACCATATCGCCTAGCACACCATCCAGATGTCCTGGTCCCCTTAACTTCGCTCTAGTGAGTGAGACTAGCAGGCTGATCTGGTATTGTAGGACCTGGATGCACGCACCATCTTTTGAATGATTTTCCACCTCTAAGTGTACTGAGGCCTGCAGTGGGGAAATGTTCCTGCTGCACCCTGTATCTCCAGTTGAGCTGTGCATGGGCTGCAGCTCTCATAACAGCAGTTATTCTTCATTGTACTGTCCTCTCACTTGCTAAGGAACCTCATATCACATCCCGCTACTTATCTGCAGCGTTCAAAGAGAAACCAGCATTCAGAGAGTTTCCATTGTATGCAGTTTCCCTCAAAACCTGTTCTGTGTTATCATATGGCAGGGAAAGACAGCAGAAAATTCTCGGTGCATGACTAATATCTAGGTCTTTTCCATCACAGTTCTGTGACTGGCTGTCACCTGCATGATAGCTCTTACCATAAGCACAGGCTTGTCAGCTATGTACGTGCAAGGTATAACTTCTGAGCCTTCAGAAGGAATTAGCTGCCTGTCTGTCAGCTCATCAGTGCCAAATACAATTGGCAGCCAAACACCCCTCGCTTGCTCATTGAAAGACCCTCAGTGTCTTAATGTAGATATAGGTTCATCAGGTTAAAAATTTTTATAGGTTAATAGTTCAAACTGTGTATGAAATTTAGGATTTGGAACTTCCTATATGCCTTTGTCATGAAATCATTAAACAAAGTTGTCATAAATTGTTTCTATTCTCAAATAGTATTTCAGAGATCTTGTTAAGATTGCATTTCCAAATAAGTTGTGTGGGTGATTTGGGTTATATGTTTTTTTATTCATGTCAAACAAAAGTAATATCATAATGTTCCAGAAATACCATAAATTCTTCAGAGATGCTGATCTTAGCTGATCTTAGTGGCACTTCTGTAGAGCTGTACGTGTCTGTACTCATCAGTTGCTGGCAATGAAGTTGCTGGCTGCTATAGTGGGCAGTGGTTTTCTTCTTCTGAGTTTGTCCTTCTGTCTATGAGAATGTCAGCATGTCATTTCCTTGAGCTCATTCTTCCCAGATGCTTTGGTGGTCTTTGGAAAAAAATTGTAAAGCTATGTTTGATTTTTAGTTGCTTATTATTGTAATTTGTCATTCTCTGCATTGCAGTATACCTTGTTGAAATATATGATGACTTCAATTAATTTTTTTTTTTTATTTAGGGAAATGTGTTTTTACCCATCCATGTGAAGACTAGGCATTCGCATAATCTATTCCATCTTTATAATTCTTGGACTCATCAATGATCAGTTCAGTGTTGTAGCTAAATAAGTAGGAATTTGCCATTCATAGAGAAGGAGAAATATACCAGGAAAGAAGTTTGCAAAACTGAAGGAAGAGAAGGAGGGACTGTGCATGTCATTTGAAATGCTGAGTACAGAAGTTGATCTGCAAAATTGAGCTAAGGATATATAGCAGCTAGCATTCTCCTTCTGAACTGTATGTAATGATCCGGAAACAGTGACAAACTCTAAAAAAGGAATAATCTTGCACAGGCAAAGATATTTTCTGCTGCTTGTAACACATGGCTTTTACATTGAGGCTGAGAGAGTTTTTAGAAACTGTAAGACAAAACGATAAAAAAATTTTAAAAATTGGTGCTATCTAACCATATGCACAGCTCAACTAGAAATTACACAGATAAAGGCTGTTCATAAAGGAAAACTAACAAGCAATTGAAGTAATCAGTGACTTTCTCAAAGGTTTCAGTCTTAGGACTAATCTTGCTGTTTTCATTAACACACCAATACTAAAGGAAGAATGTGCTGATGAGTTGTACTGATAGCACAAATTTTGGAGCTCTGTACGCATGTAGGACAAAATTTATCTTTTTATCTTGCTGTCTCTAGGGATTTAAAATCTTTGAATCCCTTTGTATTCTTTT